TCTCATTGATTCACTCATCAAAGGCCAGGAAACAACTCTCAAGGAGATTGAACCCGTCCAAAAAGATATATGGGGATATGCATAGGCAGATCATCAAATATAGTAGCGCACCCTATAGCACAACAAAAGCAGAGAGGTAGCTTTCCACCCCAGTAGATCTCCAATCTTACGCCACAAATTTTGCATCTTATCCAAGGGAATGTCATCAAAGAGTTGGATAGTCTACTTTGATATCAATATCCTATTTTTTGCTATTTTTCTTATGTTGTTGATTCTTTTGTATTGAGTTAGATCCTGCTATTTTTAATTCAATGATATCATATTTTGTGACCAAACGCAGAACCTAACAACGAACGCGGAAGACAACTCGACGAAGCTCGCGATCTTCTGTCGTATATCTCCTAACGTCAGAATCCGGATGTAGTGTGGTCTGTCAAAACCTCCGAATTCCTGCTCTCCTTTTCAGCCTTTCTCAAAAACGTGAATAAAGAATAGATGCTGAATTAGAGAGCCTAAATGTCTATATATAAGTTATGATAGAAACCCTAAGGAGAAATAAGGATCGGACTTCCAATGGGATTAGGATTCCTATGTTCAACCCAGAACAAACATCCTACAGCTCATTAATACTAAGTTAGTCTACTAAAAATTTATTATTGATCTCCTGAGATTTATCTCAAAATTATATTCGAGCTCCTTATTATTATATGTTTAATAATCTTTTCACGTTTGAGATTACAGATGTTCATCAATTAAATAAATTAGTGACAATTACATTTAATTGACTTCTTTTATTCTTTGAGACCTTACCATTCAACTTATTTGTCATGTCTGATAATTAAATCCACATGTAGGGTTTGACATGGACAAAACTTATGAGCTTCTTCAAAAGGACATCATCAACTCATTTAAATACTAGAACGTAGTTTCCTTTAATAATTAATTTTTATCATACAAATAACAGCGTCTCCCAATTCACCGAGNCCTTACCATTCAACTTATTTGTCATGTCTGATAATTAAATCCACATGTAGGGTTTGACATGGACAAAACTTATGAGCTTCTTCAAAAGGACATCATCAACTCATTTAAATACTAGAACGTAGTTTCCTTTAATAATTAATTTTTACCATACAAATAACAGCGTCTCCCAATTCACCGAGCTTATTGACTCAATATGAATATCACCCTTTGATGAATTAAAGTGACAAACATTATATATACGAGACAATTAATTATTTTGAGATTAAAAGTATAAGCAATCATAATAATCATGAGATATTTATTATCTTATTGAATCAGTAAAAGATAATAACCTCAACATGAGTCTGTTCAATACACAAAGTGTACTAGTACAATAATTCAAAATATCAAACAGTCTCCTACAGTCAAGACAAACTATGTCTAAATATTACATTACAATCATACTGATGGTGTGTCCAATTCTATCTAGGATTGTGAATNACTAGTACAATAATTCAAAATATCAAACAGTCTCCTACAGTCAAGACAAACTATGTCAAAATATTACATTACAATCATACTGATGGTGTGTCCAATTCTATCTAGGATTGTGAATCTATACTTATATTATACAAGGATCCAATAATCTAGTCTTTTGTGCATAAGTCGAACTCTACACACCAGATTATCTATATTTTTAAATATAGGACACACATGCATACCACATATTAAATATAATGCAAAAATTTTATCCATATAGATTATCAATAAAATAGAAAGAACAAACTCCTATTAATTAATAAAACGAGTTTTACTATAAAAAAACAAGTTTTTAGTGTATTACTCTATCACTAGGAGTCATCTATCAGCTGATTTTTTTTAGCATCGTCATCGACACGTATATTTTTTAGTACCGTTTTGTGATGTCACAATATAGAATGGATCTCTTGTCAACTTTTATATAGCATTTCTATTGTTTATCTCCACTATATTAATGTCTAGAATGCATCTTGGATCCTATCAACCACTCTTAAACACCAATGATATTCTACTTTAGAAGTCATCACATTAACTCAATTTATAACTTTCCACTTGATCTTTTCACAATAATATTGAGTGGCTGCTGCATATTAAATAGGGCAAGGGTTGGTGTGGGGTGTTGAGCTGATCAATATATATATATATATATAAACATAAAAAAAAAACTCAAATTAAAACAATACACTTTATTACCGAAAATCTACATAATTCTAAGAATTAAACATCTTATATTATACATAAAACCATCTTCTCGTGGTCCTTCTCCCCATCCCTCCACCTCCCCCCCNATCTCTCTCTCTCTCTTAAGAAGCCAACTTGGCCAACACCCAACAAAAATATAAAAAGAACCAACTATGTCACAAGAGAGAATAGTTAGATTAACGATACTATTAATTGATAAAAAAATATGGTAATAAAACTTGAATATAAAACTTAATTAGTATTTTTTTATTTCAAAGTTAAGAAAAATAAATTTATATCAAACATAGAAAACCTTATTTATAATTACTGCTTTAGGCCTCCAATTATCTTGCCCCCCCCCCCCCCCCCCCTTAAACACACAGACAACAAATCTAAGCTAATCTTCTTTTCTTTTCTTTTTTTCCCTTTAGTCACTTTTTACACCACACAATTTTGAGTTTTTAATCAAATTAGTAATACACAACGTGCGTTACACGCGATTATATTTAGGGTTCATAGCACTTTTGGTCTTTAAAATATGTATTTTTTGTCAATTTAGTCCCTAAAATAATCAATTCGTGTCATTTTGGTCCCGACATACATGGACCATTAAGTTTTTGACAGAATAAAAACATGTTGGGCATGTGAAACTATCTAAAAAAAATGATAGGTGGTCACTTTTGTCAAAAAACTTAACGGTCTATCTATGTGGAGACCAAAATGATACGAATTGAATACTTTAGGGATAAAATTGATACATTGAAGACTAAACTGATAAAAAATAAATGTTTCATGGACCAAAAGTACTATTAATCCATATATTTAAATAATATTTTTAACACTAATTTTTATTTTAATTATTGTCAAACCTAATTATTGATCTATTCTGTCCCTCTTCGACTATCTAATTTGTTATTTGCTTAGGTATCTTTTTGACCCCTTAGATATTCTCTTTTTCGTTTATACTATCAATGCACATGCCTTACATAAACAAATTTAAATAATATTTTTTTTTATAAAAAACGTGAATTATATGTGTAATTAGATTAAACGATAAATCAGATGACAAATAATTAGTCCGTGTTTTAATTAAATAATAAAATGTAAAATATTAATTTATTTTATAAGTTTTTAAATACCTAATTTGTCATTTATTTAAATATCTCTCCAACTCTTTTAGGCATTTGCACATCTAATTATATTATAGAATTATTAAATTTATTTTTTTAAATAGATTGATTAGATCGCTCATAATATTATTATCATATAACATACCAAAAAATAAAATATAATATATATTTGAATGTAGAATTCAATAAAGTAATTACATATGTATAATAATTTAACATGTATAAGACATTACTTTTTTATATAGATATAAAAAATTGTATGTAACTGTACAACTAATAAATGAATTTAAAAGAATTTAGAAGTCTTTATAAAAAGAGTTCAAAATAAATTGAAAGTCAAATAAGAGTAAAAAATAAAAATATATAGGTGGGTAATTGACTTTATAATAATAATTAGAGATAAAATAAGAATCAAAAAAATTTCGCAGATGCTAATATTTATAAATAGTATAGATATAAATATAGATATAGATATAGATAAATCTTTATTATAATTATATTATAAATTTATTGCATTTTTTGTTAGAATTTGATTAAATTGTAATACTATTATTTTTATTGTAATAATATGATATTGTTCTGTACCAAAAAATTAACAATAACATATATTGGAGTGTAAAATAATAGGATATAGATTTGGCTTTATTTCTTACTTATTTCTCAAGTTGTTAACATGAAAATGTGAATTTGTAAACACACTTTTTACACCAAAAAAAAAAAAAACCTTAAAATCAGGTAAGGCAAGCATGTTTTTTAAATTAAAAGGATAATTTTTACATTGATATTTGATAGTCATAAACCAAAAAATAAAATTGAAATTGTAATAAAATTAATACAATTACAAAAACGATAATTTGAGCCGATTAAAATTTGTTTTTCTATTAAAATTTGGGTCAATTAAAATTTGATTTGAACTAATTAAATTTGATTTTTGTAAGTATTAAAATTCGAGTCTATTAAATTTTTTTTTTACTTATTAAAATTCAAGCCAATTTGAGCTCTACTTGAGTTGTTAGGCTCGATTAAAATTTTTATTTTTTATTTATTAAAATTCAATTCAAGATGATTAAAATTTATTTTTTATACATAAAAATTTGAGTCAATTAAAATTTATATTTTTTTTGTATCAAAATTCAAACAGTATAAAATTTTAATTAGCTCAAACTATAATACATAAAAAAATATAATTTTGAATCAACTAAAATTTTAATACATAAAAATAATTTTAATTAGTTTGAATCAAATTTTAATCAGTCTAAATTTTAATATGTAAAAAATTTAGAAAATAGAGGGGTCTAATTAAAGATATGTTTATCTAGAGAAGGTGTAGATGAAGTTTTTCCTAAAATATATCATGGGAAATTAAGTAAAATTATATTTTAATTAACTCCTTAAATCTGACAGAGGATATCGGTGAAGATTTAAACAATAGAAAAGATGTTTTTGAAAATACGATCAACTAGAAGGGGTGTGATTAAAAATTTTTCTTGATTTAATTCTTGCAGCTTATCATTGACCTTGACTATGGCCACAAGGGGAGGTTAGTGTCATAAATAAAGGGAAGCGAGATTTATTTTAATAATTTTTATTTTTATTCTTTGTAAATAATCTATGTGAATTCAAGTAGTGGGGCAAAGAGATTTTGTTGAGGTTTTGGGGTATGTGGAAAGGAAGATTTCATAGGAGATGAATGTTATGCTGCTTCATCCGATCCAAGATACAGAGGTCAAGAAGGCAGCCATACAATTGGGAGCTCTTAAGGCCCTGGGTCCTGATGGTTTTCCTGGTATGGTATGTTCTTCCATTCTTATTGACATATTGTGGGGGATGAAATGGGTAGGGTTGTAAAGAGTTTTTTTGACGGGAGATTCATGTTGAGGGACCTAAACAAGACAAATATAGTCCTTATTTCTAGGGATGAGTCTCCTGAAAAGCTTTCTCAGTTTAGACCTATTGCGTTATGCAATTTTTTATATAAGTTGATTTCTAAAGTCCTTGACAATAGAATGAAAGGTTTGATGTCTTCCATCGTTTCTCCGCAACAAGCTGCTTTTGTGCCTAATAGGCAAATTCAAGATAGCATTATCATTGCAAATGAGGTTCTCCATTTTATGAGGCTAAAAAAGAAAGGTATGGTTCCAAACTTGGCAATCAAAATGGATATTAGTAAAGCATATGACAGAATTGAATGAGACTTTTTGGAGGCGGTGATGCTTAAGTTGGGGTTCTCTCCCAGATGGGTGCAGTTAATTATCTAGTGTGTCAGTACTATAAGTTTCTAGATAATTATTAAAGGGGAGAAACATTACAAGGTCTTCCCACAGAGAGGTATTTGGCAAGGGGACCTTATTTCTCCTTATCTGTTCATTCTGGTTGCAGATGTTTTGTCCTCTATGTTACAAAAAGGGGTGGAAGAGAGAAAATTTTCAGGTGTCAAAGTGCGAATAGGTAGCCCTGCTATATCCCATCTTTTCTTCACAGATGATTCTTTCTTCTTTTTTAAAGCAAAGGTTCTGGATATTTCTAATGTCTTGGGTGTTCTTAACAGGCACTGTTCTGCCTCTGGACAATGCTTGAATTACCAAAAATCAGGTATTATATTTTTCTGCAAATGCCACAGATGAGCAAAAATTTTTGTTTGGTCAACTGCTGGGGTTAAGGCCATTGGACAGAGGAACTAAATATTTGTGTTTGCCTTTTTTGTATGGTAATACAAAAGGTGAATTGTTTGGTTACCTTCTTGAGAGAATTTTGAAGAAGCTGCAAGGGTGGAAGAGTTTGTTTTTGTCTCCAGCTGGCAAAGAAGTTTTAATCAAGGCGGTCATCCAATCAATTCCAAATTATGTTATGTCAGTCCTTGCTGTCCCTAAATCTTTTTGTGATAAGATTAATATGTATGTAAGGAGGTTTTGGTGGGGGGATGGAGGGGATAAGAGAGGAATTTGCTGGAAAAGTTGGGATAGGATGGTGGAAGCAAAAGCTAGAGGGGAGTTGGGTTTCAAAGAGTTCTATCTATTTAATCAGGCGTTACTTGCTAAACAATGTTGGAGATTAATTCAAAAACCTGATTCCTTTTGGGCAAGATTCATCAAGTCTATTTACTTCCCTGATGGTGACTTCATGAAGGCTAAAAAGGGGGGCAAGGCCTTCTTGGGTCTGGAATGGTCTGCTAAAGGGAAGAGATCTTCTTGAAAGAGGTCTTTTGTGGCAAGTTTCGGAAGGCAATGAGATTAGTATTTGGGAGGATAAGTGGATTCCCCAGTTTGAAGACGGAGCGGTGCATTCTCCTAGACCTCAAGACTGTAATATACTTTAGGTTAATCAATTTATCTCTCAACACAATAAGGAATGGAAAGATGGGTTCATCAAAGGCATCCTTAATGCGCAGGAGTGTAAGGCTATTCTAGCTATTCCTATTACAAAATTTCTTGGTGCTGATAGGCGTGTTTGGAGACTGGCTTCTATAGGTATGTATTCGATTAAGTCTGGTTTTTCACTTGTTGTTAGTCTTCTGCCTTTTTCTGCATCTCTTCCTTGCTCCTCTTTTTCTCCTCACTCCAAACTCTGGTCTGTTGTATGGAATATGATGGCCATGCCTAAAATCAAACATTTTTGGTGGAANAGTTTCGGAAGGCAATGAGATTAGTATTTGGGAGGATAAGTGGATTCTCCAGTTTGAAGACAGAGCGGTGCGTTCTCCTAGACCTCGAGACTGTAATATACTTTGGGTTAATCAATTTATCTCTCAACACAATAGGGAATGGAATGCTGGGCTCATCAGAGGGATCCTTAATGCGCAGGAGTGTAAGGCTATTCTAGCTATTCTTATTCCAAGATTTCCTGGTGTTGATAGGGGTGTTTAGAGACTGGCTTCTACAGGTATGTATTCGATTAAGTCTGGTTATTCACTTGTTGTTAGTCTTTTGCCTTCTTCTGCATCTCTTCCTTGCTCCTCTTTTTCTCCTCACCCCAAACTCTGGTCTGTTGTATGGAATATGATAGCCATGCCTAAGATCAAACATTTTGGGTGGATAGTTTGTAACAATGTTGTGGCCTCACGTGAGAATCTATTTAAAAGAAAGTGTGTTGATTCTCCTTGGTGTCTTATATGTGGTGATAATATTGAATCTATTGAGCATATTCTTTTTGAGTGTGAATGGATAAAGAAGGTTTGGTTTGGGTCTGATTTGGGGTTGATATTGGAGCAGGGGCTTGTGTCTCGGTCTTAATGTGGGTTTCGGCTTTACTGAAAAATTTTAGACTCTTTTGAATTTATGGGGCATGTTACTACGACTGGTTGGGCCATTTAGAATTCTAGAAATAAGTTTGTGTTTAATCATGAACTTCCTAATGCCCTTGTCACTTTGATGTGGTCTCAGCGTTAGTGGTCTGAGACTTTCGATGCTGCTATGGGGAGGCAGGTTGTGCATCAGTTTGGTTCGTCTTATCTCAACTTGAATAGTTCGGGACTATTTCGGCTCATTTCTTTGTGGTGTGATGGTGCTTTTAAGAAGGGTAAGGCAACTGTAGGGGTGATTCTTAAAGGTTATAATGGTACGTTGGAGGCTGGTATTGGCAAGCATATTCCGACTGTTTTCAGCCGATTTTCAAAAGCTGCTGCTATTCATGAAGCGTGTTTGTTGGCCAGTGCATCTAGGTTACGAAACGTGACTATCCCAAGTGACAATCTGGAGGTGATCAAGCTAGGTTCAACTGAAAATATTCCCCCATGAGAAATTCGTGTCTTTGTTAGTGATATTAGGCATTTTGCTAATGATCTTAATTTAAGATTTGTACACAAGCTTAGGGCTCTTAACAGAGCAGCTCACTGGGTGACAGCCATGACGCTCTCTAACTCAATTCCTTTGAGTTGGGTGTGTTATTCTCTTCCCGAGCTTAAGGCTTTTTTATCTTCTGATTGTAATCAAGATTTCCCTACGTAATGACTATCTGATCACTCTTTTTCTCAAAAAAAAAAAGTAGTATCTATTATAAATTAATAAGTCTCTCACTCATTAATAATACATAATTTATTTTACAAAATTTGAGGAGAACTGAACCCACTACATGATGTTATGATCCCAAGTTTTATATTGGGGGAATCGTATATTGTATCTCAAAATATTTAAGAATTTTTATTTTACACTTTAAAAATTAAATATTTTTTGTATTATACCTTTAATATATTAAAAGTATTGCAATATAGCCTTTTAATTAGATTTCGTTGCTTGTTTTGTGAAAAATCATCCCATTAGTTTTGACAGAATAAGCAATGAAAGCAAATAAAAAATCACATTATAATATTTTTAATACATTAAGAGTATAATTTATAAATCTAATATTTAAAAATACTAAGTAAAAATACTTAAATCTTTTGGAATGAAAAGTACAATTTGCCCTTTTTTGCTTCAGATGGAATTTTCTTAAAGGTTCGTTTGGTTAGAAAGAAAAGAATGATAGAAAGTAAAAATTATAGAAAATAAAGTTAAAAAAAAATAATAAAAAATATGTTTTCATGCATGTATTTGGTTAGCATGAAAAACTTGAGAGAAATTTTTTTTAAAAATTAATTATATTGTTTGAAAGAAGAAAAATTACAAGAAAAATTTAATAATGGTCTAAATTATTTTTAATTATATTAAATTGGTCTAAATAAGAAAAAATATATATATTATAATTGAAAATTAAAAGATTTTAAAAAAGTAGTCAGTAACCTAATTATGGGACAACCATCAGCATGAAGGTCTTTTGACCAAATTATATAGTTAATCAAATTCATACCAAGATTTTTTAAAATTAATAATCAATAAAATATTTTAAGAAAAATAAGGATAAAATCGGAAGTTGGTTATAGATTAAAATTTTCTTGCATTTTCTTGTGTTTTTTACAAGAAAAAAATTAATTAATTGTGAAAAAATTCAAGTATGAAAGAAAATTATTATTTTTCATCGTTTTTCATATTATGCTAATTAAACACATGCAAATTTTAAAAATTTTCTTATTCTTACATTTTTTATTATTATCTCGCTAAACAAACAGACTCTATCAAACTACGCTCAATGCGTTGATACGAGATTAATAAATAACTTAATAGTCACCACCTTGCTTTTAAACCTCATGATTTTGAGTTTGAAACTCGTCGTTCCATCGCTAATAATAATTATGCCCATGTAAAAGGGCCAAATAATAATAATAATAATAAAATAAAAGGTAAATTACACAATTAATCCCTAAAGTTTGTCACTTGTTGCACTTTCGTCCCTAAAATTTTAATTTCTTCCCCAAAATTCACATATTGGACTGATGTAGTCCCTCGCCCTAACTGCCGTCTAAATCAATAACGAAAAATCATCATGTGCTATGCACATGACTGCAGTTAATGGTAATTTTGTCATTGTCCAACAATCTTTATAGCCAAACACTCTTATTACACTTACGAACAACACTAGACATTAACCTAAACAATTGTCTTCTTCTTCCTCACTTTTTTTTTTCCATTTCCCTTAACACTGACAACACAGATGATAAGCCCAATATACACACAACATCTCCCCCTCTCTTTCTCTCAATTTTTTCTTTATGCAAAACAAACCAATCTCCCCCTCCCAAAAAAAAACCCAACAACACCTCGTCCCAAAAAAAAACAACACTTCTCTCTCTTTGAAATTTTTTTTTTATGCACAACATCCCCTTTTCAAAAAAATAAAATAAAATCCAGCAACGCTCCCCTCCCAAAAAACACACAGCACCTCCTTATTTGTCTGAATTATTTCTTTATGCACAATATCCTCCCCCACCCCCCCCCCCCCCACA